CTAAACTGTTAAAACAGAGGTCATAAATTATAACCTGTCAAAAAATCTTAATAATTAATCTTATTATATATATGTGCACTTAAAACTCAACTTATCTTAAGTTTTAACTGAGTTTGCAATTTTCGAGTAATTTTTGTAGTCATAAATGCTTCCCAAGGATCTCACTTCATCCGTTGTTTTTTTTTTTTAATCATAGAACAACAGGTTAGGACAAAATTTTCTGTTCCGAAATCATCAGGGAAAGTTGCTGTTCAAAGTCTTAGCCACTCTATATACATAACAAAAGAAATGCTGAAATACCTTTGCTAAGCTGGTCAGTTTCACTTGTAATGGTTAGTTGATGACCAAGTACATACAGGGCTGTAATTAAATCTGACCATTGAACTAGTTCACCCAAAGGTCCACCTGTAAGGAAACAACAAAGATCATAGTGCCATGCATCGTTAAATACCCACGGCCATTATCAAGTGGATAAGAGGTGTGTCAAAGACAGCTATTTTATTGGTTGCCTCATGATTTCATGTGGTGATTATAACCAATCAAAACGCTCGTTCTATACAATGTTTGGTATTTCAGACAAAATTGCAGCAACCAATTAAATTCAGCTGAGAAACGTTCAAAATCAAAAATGTAAATGAAGATTATGAATTTTGTTAATGCGATTTCATTGGTCAATGCACCTGTTGCTGTAAACTCACGATTATTGATTCATTTTATACATGTATTGATTACATATTAATCAGCCGTGGGTACCAAACAATGAGTACAATGACACTGCTCATTTAAGAATATTATTTATGAAATACTATAAAACTACAAGTTTGTAACAACAATTAATCCTTTTTATAAAACTTTTTACAAACATTTGTTTCTACATTATATTGCCAGTTTCCCCCCCCCCCCCTGCATCGTAATGACTCAAATTGGGAATTTTATGTAATATGCCAGGTATTCATGTGAAATTTATTTTTAAATCCAAGGAGAAACAAGCAATTATCATAGTATTGCAAGCAATCCATAAGTCCCCTACCGGTTAGAACTCCATCAACATTCTGAAGGGCCATTCACTAATGTTTCAATTTTTCTATATTTTAAGTAAATTTGTTGGAAAAGTTCTTTAAAAGTGATCACAGGAAACAGTTTATATGAACAGGGCAGACAGACGGACTGAAGGGCACTCTTAAAAAGTTAATATTTGAAACATCCCTGTTACCAAAATATAACATTTTTAAAAGCAAAATTCTTAAAGAGGAGATTAACTCTTGAATTAAAGATGCAATTTCATAAAAAAATTCTCAGCTCTTTTTTTGACTAATCACAAATAAAATGTTATATTTGCCATGTTTTTTAAGCCTATTTGTTGCCAAGGCAACCCAAATATTTTTTCAAAATAGGGAGAACAGATAAGACATGCATAATCTCAAGACTGCATCTACCCATATGTCAAGTTTCATAAAAATATTTCCAGTACTTTTTGGGTTATCACTGGATTCAGTGTATATGTAAAATTTGCCATATTTTTCAGTCTATGTGTTGCCATAGCAACCAGAATTTTCAACATAGGAAGAAAAGAAAAAAGACGTGCATAATCTCCAGACTGCCATCTACCCATATTACAAAAGTTCATAAAAAATATTTTATTACTTTTTTGCGTTAACACTGGAATTCAGTTTATGTGTAAAATTTGCCATATTTTCAGTCTATTTGTTGCCATAGCAACCAGTAATTTTCATCATAGGAAGAAAAGAAAAAGACGTGCATAAATCTCCAGACTGCCATCTACCCATATGTCAAGTTTCATAAAAATATTCCAGTACTTTTTGCGTTATCACTGGATCCAGTTTATGTGTAAAATATGCCATATTTTAAGCCTATTTGTTGCCATAGCAACCAGAATTTTCAACATAGGAAGAAAAGAAAAAGACGTGCATAATCTCCATACTGCATCTATACATATATCAAGTTTCATAAAAAATATTTTCAGTACTTTTTTCAAGTTATCGCGGGATCCAGTTTTGTGGACGGACTGACGGACGGACAGACAGACAGACGGACTGACAGACAGGGGACGGAGGGTAAACCTAAAGTCCCCTCCGGTAGGGGACTAATTAGAGTTATGCATAATTAACTTGGTTTCATCACATATCATTTATCAATATGGAAGCATCCATTATTGTTTCTTTACCAATTTTTTAACCATTTTCTGGTTAAAAAAAAAAACAAAAAAACCCGCCTCCATGGTCGAGGGGTTAGAGTCGATGACTTCTAATCAAGTTACCTCTCTGGCGTGGGTTCGATCTCCGGGAGATGCTTTGGTAGTTTAGCGCGGAGGAAGGTAGTCTAGTACCGGTGTAACTCTCCAGGAACGATGGTTAGGAAACTACCCACCTATATGACTGAAATACTATGGGGAAAAGGCGTAAAATGAAACAAACAAACAAAACAAAATATAAAAAAACAATGCGGATTACCTTTGAACTGCATTTCGGCAAATTTCCATCCAGACTGTTTAGAGAGTAGTCCTAAATGAACCAAAATCTGAAAAAATGGACCTAAATGATCAAATTTGTTGCAAAAATTATGATAATTTACATGCAAAAACTATAGCAATACATGCATGTATGAAACTGTAAGAACTAACTCATTCCTTACATAAATCATGTTGCAATAACATTAGGTTATATAGATTTTTTTTTTTTCACTGTGTATGAAGCTTCACACTTATAGACACTCTCAAATCCATTTCTAGAACCAACTGGAGTACTGAGCAATATGTGTCACGTGAACAACAGCTTGCCATTGACAGGGTTTGAAACAACACGGCTAGATATCTTTAGATTACTAGTTTGACCCATTAACCATTTGGCCATGACATCACATAATGTGCTATTATTTGTTTTGCATCACAACTGTTCGGTTTTTTGTATATACACCCCCACCCCACCCTCAGCATCATGTCATGTTATTAATTAATACATGCCTTTTAAAATTTCTGTTTCACAGTAACTGTTGTCACACCTTCAACACTGTTACATGGTGAACAAATTTGATAACACTTACACAGACATATTTTAACCTTCATAATATACCACTCCAGATTAAGTACAGTTTTCAAATTTACAAATATTTGAAATAAGCATAAACAATTAGTATTTATAGTTTATATTTAATGACAAAAAAGGCCAATCAATCCATAATATCTAAAAAACATTGGAAAAAAAATCCAAACCTTTTTTGGTTTTCTTTTTGATAAATCTTGTTTACGAGCTAAATTTTTTATTGCCTCCTCCCACCTGGGCCAGATGCGTTTGATCCTCATACGTATCCATGCGTAGCCTTGCCGCTCATTAGGGTCCTTCAATAGCTGCATCAACCCATCCAGGTCCGTTGTTATATTAGCCTGTCGTAAAAAAAATTTATCATTATTCATTTATCTTTATTAGATTTAAAGGTTTTTAATTAACCCCAATTGAATTGTTTAACATTGCTGAGTAATATTTACATAACAATGACTCTTTTAAAAGGGTCCGTCATTGCATTCATAATTAACTAAGCTATAAAGCCACTTTGATACACTTTCGGGATATTTTCAAAGTTAGAAAAAAACACACAAATATGTCACATACACTAACAGATGCATTGTAATTTTGCATTGGTATGGTCAAGATGGTCCAAGTATTAATAATTTCCGTATACTAATAATTACAACAAGTATGAAAACAACAGTTACTTATGTGAAAGTTTAGAATTCGAAAAAAATGTGCTTTAATCACATGTTGAAAATTGTAAAAAAGGGAGATAATAATTTAGAAACATATTTATCAATCAGTATATTTTATAAAGCTATCAAATCATATATTAAAATATACTGATTGATAAATATGTTTCTAAATTATTATCTCCCTTTTTTACAATTTTCAACATGTGATTAAAGCACATTTTTTTTCGAATTCTAAACTTTCACATAAGTAACTGTTGTTTTCATACTTGTTGTAATTATTTACTAGCCTAGTTTCTCTATGAAAATATATGTATCTTTTGATCCAGTTATTTTATGTAATTCCTTTCGAAAATTATATATGCTATGTTTTTTAAAAAAAAGTATATTTATACATACATATGCACATGTTTTATTGTAATACTTATTGTAATATTATCACGTTCCTTTTACGCGCCAAATGTAACGTCTATTAACGTAGACGTTTGTTTTGTACGTTTACGTCATTTTTATATATGTATCAACTGAGGAAGCTTAATAAAGCGAAACATGTTTTGATACTTAATTTGTGTTGGTTTTTGATCCAATTATCCTATCCCGTATACTAATAACAAAGTTTTACCACCAATCATAGTAAAAACAGTGAAATTTCAATAGTTACCCCTTCAAGGTCAAGGTCATTTAAAGGTCAAAGTTAGTTTGATCTTGATCTCCATAAAGGTCCTAAAGAATGTTGTGTCTAAATATGAAGACAATTCAATCATAACAAATTTCTAGCCAGTTACAGCACAACTAAGGCAAAATTCAATAATTTATGATGTCAGTCTGATCAACTCATAGAACATTCTAAACTATTGTTGTGTCCAAGTATGAAGACAATTCATTAATCAACAATTATGCCACTTTGGTACATTTTTGGTTAAAAATGTGCATACATGTAATTATGTTAAACTTACTATCAGTTATAAAGCATATACAGTTGCATTGTGATATTGCTTTGAGGTGCCAAATTTCAATTAATACCGGTTCCTCAGATGGGACGGGACGAGACAGAGTGATTCTTATATAGCCCCTGCCCCGCAAAATGTTTGGCGAGGGTTTAATAAAGGATAAACTCTTATCCTGGTCACATAACCTAAATCTATACTTACAGATCTCATGTCAAATATATCATGTGTTGGTACAAGACTGGAACCATGCCATGCTGACCTAGGGCACCAGCCTTCAATCTATAAATAAATGTCATAATCTATAAATAGATGTCATAATGCATAGATTTCATAATATATAAATGTTATAATCTATAAATAAAAAAGATCTTTAAATAAAAAGACATGATCTATAAACAGATGTGATGACATATGAATAGAAATAAATGTCATGAACAATGAGAAGTTATATTTTTATCAATTTCAATGTATGTCAATCCAAAACTGTTCAAAAATGGGGTTTTCCTACCTAATCTGTGAGTTTCACAATTTATAACTTCAAGGGACACTACCGTTCAACATGTCCACATTTATATTTCATACACCTACATACTGGTATTTAACATACATTAAAGCAACACCATGAAGTTGTGACAGTAAGATTTTAGCTGCATATTCCAAAATACGTTAACTCTATTGAACCCCAAAGAAGCAAAAAATGAGTTAAGTTCTATGCACATTAACTACAACCAAATAATGATAAATTTGTCAATAATAAAGAATTTCGAAAGTTTAAACCACTCACCTCACTAAGGTACATTATAAAGGAGCACGCTGAGCCGTCCACGCCATATGAAGCATAACACGGATCAGACTTCCACATCTGTTTCATCCACTAAAATTAAAAAATTAAAATAAAATCATTCACCATTTCTTAAATTATTATTTAAAATTAGGTTTAGTTTGTTTTGATGTCTTTATTCATAATTGCTTTAAATTCTACTTTGTTTCTATACTTTATAGTTGGGTTAATTAATTTCACTTTGTTTTTGTACTGAATACATTGTAGTTGGATTTAATTGCTTTGGTTTCTATGTAGAATGTTGCGTTAATTTTCACTATGAAACACTGTATGTTTAAGATATAAACTGGTTACAGGAACTTAGTAGAGTTTACCAAGGTACATGCACTTAATGAAGTGTTGAGACTGCAGACTGTAGGACTTCAGTGTGATGGCCAAAGTTAAGGTTTTATGACAAACAATCCAATAAAAAGACAGATGATGAATGGTTCAGTCCCGACTGAAAGATGGATAAGTCCATTTTTAGATATTGGTGGTGGTAAGGGTGAAAATAAATCAAGTAAAAAGAGAAGAGGGATCTACCTCTATTTTTCCTTGACATTTTGGATAAAGCTGTTTTTCTTTGTCAGATAATCTACACTTTTCAGGTTCTCCCTGTAGTAAATCTAAAAAATCAAGTTTTCAAAAATTTCAAACTTTGAAACTATAATACATCAATCCTAAAAGACAATTCAATACAACACTTAACAAACAATTAAACAGCTGTCAAAGATCTGTCAATGGCTGTAAATAAATCATTGAATTTTGTAAAATATTGACAGTTTCATGACAAATAACTACATTGTAAAATGAATGAATCACGCCAATTATTGCTTGTAAAAGACTTTAATATGCCTAAAGTAAATACAAGAGTCCTATAGTTATGCTATTGGTATAAACAGGGCCAAGTCGTTGTTTCCTTGAGCAAGAAACTTTACACTAATTGCTCAGTACTGGTTGGTTCCAGGAACGGATTTCGAAAATGTGTTTATAGGCTAATAGCTTCCTGCACAATCAAACTAAAATCAATTCTGTATAAACCAATGTGGTATAATGTCATAACTACTGGCTATGAGGTTTAGGAGGACTCAAAGTTTTGTCAATAAAAATGTTTATAACAGAGTGTGATCAAAATTACACCTTTATTTTGTGCTTTGGCAAACTAAAAACTGTAGACAAATCTAATATTTATCCTAACTGACCATGACTACAACCAAAATAATCTGAAAAAAATTTCTGACAACTATTCGTCCAGATTTAGTGTCATATCACCAACTATAGTATAAATTTAGTGTTGTCATACCTTCAGCTAGTAATGAGTGTTGTTTATCGGCTTCACCTGGCTTCGCTAGAATGGAGCTAATATTGGCAGTAATGTTTAATTTATGTTCTACTTTGTCCAACCTTTGTAAAATGTTTTCCAATAAAACTGCCATTGTCTTCTTGAGATCTGAAAAAACAATTTAAACTGGAATTGATTTCATTCTTCCAAAGCCATTCCCAATAATTTTTTCTGTTTAGTCTTTTAAAAGAATAAATAAATAAATTAAAAAAAAAATATCTTTGATATTAGTTTGTTTTGCATGTAAGACTAAAATATATTTCACTGAGTGAACACCAGATGCAGTATTTTATAATATGGAAACTAGAATAGCTGGTGTTCAGGAATGAAATATATTTCAATCTTATTATGTAAAACAAATAAATTTTCTTTTTATTTCATGCTTTATTATTTTTTATATGTCATTTTAAGTTTAAATTTTTCACTGATTTTTCTGCATATGACGTCATCACATCATGAAGTCACATCACCAATTTTGAAATATAGTTCTGTTAAATTTCTCTAATTTTGTTACATTTTTAACATGATGTATGATGACATCGGCTGCCTTTTCCTAAAGAAGCAAAATTTACGTATGATGGCATTTATTATTGCATTATTATTCCATTTAGTTATGAATATTCTTTTCATCCGCATTTAGATATTATAAGTCCGGCTACAGTGAAAAATTACTTTTCATAAATTTCACTAGTAGTTTATCAGAATTTAATTATCTGATAGATGTTTTTTTATTGTATTGTATAGTACAAATGTAGCAGAATATTTCAGAGAATCAATAGCTAATCAAGGAAATGAAAGGTAAAAGTAATTTAAGGCCCATACTCATTTAGATTTGAAAGTTTGTTTCATTTTACGCCATTTCCCAACAGTATTTCAGTCATATAGGTGGGTAGTTTCCTAACCATCGTTCCTGGAGAGTTACACCAGTACTAGACTACCTTCCTCCATGCTAAACTACCAAAACATCTCTGGGGATCAAACCCACGCCAAAGAGGTAATTGGATTAGAAGTCATTGACTCTAATCCCTCGACCACGATTTAAAAAATCCAGAACATACGGTATACCAAACTGCTGGAACCAAAAGTTATTCCCCTTTGTCACCGGTCAGGCTAGTCTAGACTTATGTTCAGTCTAACTGGGTCTTATATTTGTTCAGGTAGCTCAATTTTTGTATTTTAAAGGGATTCCACTGCAAATTTTTGACATGACAGGACTGGAAATATTTTCCCCAAAATTTGTGTTCCATTTGATGTCAGTCTTGACAAATATTTGTGTACAACTTTTCTATATTTAGATATTGAAACCCCTTTAACTTTGAATGGACTGTTCCAAAATCAAAGCAGACCAAATCCATGCAGGTTAAGAGTTCCATCTATCAATCAATTCAGAGTCATGAATTTTTTATGAAAATGGATCAATCTTCCCTAATTGGTGATACAATTCTTTTAAATGATTTAAAAGGTTAACTTCTCCGAAAGACATGAATAATTCAATATACACTATCAGATCAAACAAACATGTAGCCTACATTTATCTTAAGTGTACGCAAGTGTATGGCAATGCAATTTCCTTACATAAGTATTTATAATACTGGTAAAAGCTTGAGGTTACACTTGAAACTATTAAAATTCCATATAAAACAGGAAAACAACAAGAACAACAAATGTCAATGTCATCCCTGAAAAATATTTAGCAAGTCAGATTCTTTAAAAAAAAATCATATAAAAAAAGTCCATACCTTCTGTTAAAATTATATTATTTCAGTTTATCCATTTGATTTTTTGAAAAGTACAAAATACTGATATGTACAGTGAAACCTGTACTAAAGGTCCCTATGCTTACCCTCCCCTCCCCCTACCCCACATGCTACAAAAACAACTCAGAGTGCTACTAAAGGTAGCAACCCCAGCTGATTTCTTTTCTCCAATTTTAAAATGTTATTTTATACAACAGATGTAACGTTTTTTATTAGAGGTTTTCAGAACTGTTTCACTTTTTAAAATACCTTGAAAAATATAAAAAATTATGACCATTTGAAATAATGCTAAAACAGAAGTTTTCTTGCAAGTTTCAAATATATAATATGAAAATAAATATCCTGCGATCACATCAATGAGAAATGAAAACATGTCATTTTACAAACAGTAAAAATGCCTTTTTAACTAACAGTAAAAATGCCTTTTTAACTTTGTAAAAATCACCTTCTCCCATTTGTTTTTCTAAGCAATGGCACTGAACAAATTATTTCCATGGAAACCTACCGTAAGCTGTAAATCTCCCGGCATAAGGACCGTCCACAACACCTTCATTGTCACGTGCTAATGCTCGGATATATTGTTCACTTAGTTTAATCACTTCCGACTGAAAAATATAAAACAAAATAATTTAATTTGTACAAAATGAAATAAAAGGTAAAATATATTCCTGGAAGATCATAATAATACAGGAGGTAACACAAAATTTCCCACTCAAAAATTCTAACATTTCAAGAATAAAAACTTTATCAGTTCACAAAAATGTAATTTTGTGATTTTTTTTCCAATAAATCATGCATTTACAAGTCACAGAAAATACTTTTATGGATTCAATTAAATTTGTACCAATGAAAAAGAAACAGTATGGTCAAAATCACAACCAGGGATGAAGCTTGGTCTAAATTTATGTGTAGGCTAACTTCTAAGGGGGTTGGTGAGCATGCATCCTAAAGAAAATATATGCTTAAAGTTTTTGACATATATTTAGTACAACAACTTGTTTGTGGGATTATAAAGAATTTGCAGGACTTGAAAATCATTCCTATTTTTTCTCTTTTACAGCACACAGCCTAAACAGTGTATAGGGAGCTATAAATATATGCCTGTAACGACCTTAAGCAACTAGTGGAATCTGTTATTTATAGGGGTATTACTATATAAATTAACTAATTACCATATTAATTAACTTATTAATAATTACCATATTAATTAACTTATTATTAATTACCATATTAATTAACTAATTATCATTTTAATTAACTAACTCATGCCTGTGATTAACACAATTTCAAGGTATATAATTACTTTAATTTCCTCACTCCCTCTATTAACGACTGCTGTTGAATTGATGTTGAAAATTGTGACGAGCCACAGAAGTGTCGCTACGCCGAGCAAGATACATCCTTGACGACTGTGAAGATGAAAGTAACGTAACCACCTCCACGACGTCATGGTAACCGTGTCAGCTAACCTGTTTATTACCTACGCTCATCAGCAGCATCTGAAAATAGATAAAAAATTGTAAATTTAAATTCTGCTCTTTTTATAAAGAGGATCATGTTCAACATTATGTCCTTTTATTATTAATACCTTCTCCTACATGTAAGCAAGCAAAAAATGTTCATTAATTTTCAAAAAAATATTAAACATGTACAATCACATCTTGGTTAAACATAACACCCAAGGAAATAATCTGATCTTGTATCATAGTTTGGAGACCTTTCTGTTGAAAATGTGTCAGGGTTAAATCGTATACATATACATGCACAGTGCGTTAACTGGAGTGCGGGTATTAGTTACCCGCACTCCAGAGCATCCCCATTGATTGGCTTATTTTTGCTGGGGTTTACATATTGTGACGACAGAGAAAGGGAAAGTGACAGAAATGTCATATTCAGATGTTCGTTCATTGGTTCATTTTTGCCGGGGTTTCATATTGTGACAACAAGGAACATGCTTTTATGTTTGACTATGATACAAAAAGAGAAAAAGAACACCCAAAACACTCGGCAATCTGATTAATACTCGGGGGCTACGCCCCCTCGTACAAATCAGATAGCCTCGTGTTTCGGTGCTCTTTCTATTACTTAATCTGCACTGATTGGGTCTATTCAGTTTCTGCCAGCAGATCATCCTTGGTAACCCTGTGAGGCTATTTACCTTTCATTTACCAGTATTAAATGTTGTATATATGAAATGTATACCTTGGGTTCCGATGATACCAGTAGATATATATTCAATATAAATTATATTTTTAATGTTAAAATATAGTTATATCTTCAATGAACAATATCAAGGTAATAAAAAAAAAATTGTTTACTTTTGAAAATTCAGAGAGATCATAAACTGCTATAAATTGTTGGCCCTTAATTACTTATAGCAAATAAAATCATTTCAGATAACCCATCATATTGTACAAGCACAATGGTAAAGCCATCCTCATAAATTTTTAAAAGCCGAAAAAAAAACTGATCTTAACTTTCAGGGCACTAGTATAATAAGTTCAAAGTGTTATTTGATGTGGAGGACCTGAATTCGATGATATGACAAAAAAATCAACACAATAAAAGTTGGAAAAAATAGAAATATAAATTAGATATATACTTTTTCCAAAACCCTCTTTGAAAAAGTTTTTGCCCTGATTGTCTCTGAAAATCATAACAAATGGGACCCCCCCAAACCCCGGCGAAATCCAAGTCCTTTTTTAAAAATCGATAAATTTGTAAATAATTATAAAAATTGTCTGTCACAAGTTTATTAGAGTAATTTGTATTTGTGTTTTTTTTTTTGGGATTCAAAGAGTACATTTAAACTGTTAAATCTTGGGAGACAAGGGTTTTATTTTTCTCAAAATGTGGTCATAGCGGTATAAAAAATACTAAAGGTTTGAACACAATACCTAGGTTCAAAAAAGGCCATAATAAAATGCCCAAAACTCAATTATAACTAGGCGGCAAAGACCCAATCGAATTGGGGGGTGGTCCGATTATCCAAATAATTGATTTTTGAGTTTCCGATACCAACACCTATTTTGAAATAGATAATTAAACTGCATTCCCGTCTACAGGCTAAAACCTTTTCAACATGCAACGCATTGTTGGATACACCAAGAATTTTGGTTGTTGATGAAAGGTGGTCCTCTTTCAGAGGTTAAAATATTTCTTTTACGTCTTACTTTGGGAAATAACAATACTGTTGTTATTCAAAATGATGCATTGGTGAGGTTTCAATGTGTAAATGTTGTTTTTCTTCTACAATAAAGAGTTAAAAACTGAATTTTGAAAAAAAATGTCATTAAGACAGTTTTCCCTTCGCGTTTGCCCCTCAAATTTATAATTTACCCAGAATTTTCTACTGTCAACCTGCGCTCCGGGATAGAATGTTTTCCCAGTAACTTTCCAACCATTGTATTTTTTCCAAAGCAAATTCCCCAAATTAGTTCCCCTCATTCTTATTTAAACTTTTAAATCCCCTTACAATTAAAATGGCCTGGTCAAAAACTTAAATTCAAAGTGGGTTTTAAGCAGACTTTCAAAATGATTATAACTTTCCCAAATCCATCATCAACCTTCCCAAAGGTGGAATTAATAACATTCCAGGGGGGGGCGGTGGCCTAGTGGGTTAAAGGTGTCGGGCCTTAAACCCCCAGGGTTTAGGGGGGTAAAAGCCCTAAAACCCTAATCCCCAAAAATTTTTTCCCCGGGTAGCCCCGGGGTATGGATGGGTTTTCCCAAGGGGGGAGAAAAGGGGAAGTTTTAATAAAATTTGGGCAAAAACCCGGGTTTGCAATCAAGTTTAAATAAATTGAGCCCCCGCCCATGAAAAACCAAAATTGTGTTTTTTGAAACCCCAAAGATAGATCCGGGCCCACCTGCGATCCGTCCCCAGCTGACCCCAAGGATCCTGCTGTTGGCTTTATACCAAACCTTATTAAACAAGTGGAGGAAAATGAATGTAGCGGAAACAGATGGATTCCTAATCAGAAGCCTGTGCAGTGCGCAGGCTGGTCTGACTCCCTTGCTGGTTTGCCAAAGGCATTAGGTATGTTTTGTCGTGAACGGGCTCAAAAGTTTTACAGCAACTTTCCGAAAGGGGCTGGGCAAAGGTCAAATTTTACAACATTTTGCAAATGGTAACAGTTAAAAATCGATTCAAAAAAAATCAACACAAAAATGTTTTAAACTGCTTTCAAAGGCAATTATCAACAAAACAAAAATCTGTTTATCAAGATAAAAAAAAAAATTTAAAAACAGAAATTCAATTATGAAATGATTAGACAACAAAAATTGTTGTTTTATCTTTCCCTAAATTTTTACTGAAATTTCTATTTATGCTCAAATTCCAAAAATAAGAAATGTTAAAGTTAAAAAAAAAAAGTCATTTTTCAGATTAGTGCGCCGCTCCTTCATGCAATGCTTATTAATGTGCTGAAAAACGCTTTGTATTAACGCCGGAATGATGGTCATAATCAAAGTGGTTATTAAACAAGCGATTAAATGGCTTTAAATTAACTCCCGGGGGGTTTATGGTAGACAAGTTTATATAATTGTCAAAAGTGCATGCCTCAATGAGGAAATAAGCTAGGGTATTTTAAAAAATTAATCGTTCTGAAAGAAAAAAAAAATTTTGGAGTAAAAGAAAAGTATAAATATTTTTTTAATTTCATAATGCTGTAAAAACTTTAAAACTATTATAACATAAAATGCAAAATATTAGGAAAAATCTTTATTTTCATCACTTAAAAAATTTTCCCCCCCAAAAATAATTGAAAAGTTGTATTAAAAAAAGTTACTGGATAATTTTGATAAAATAGCAAATAATAGAAAAATTCATGTGGATATAAATTAAATGTGGTTTTAGGCTTATAAAAACCCCATTATTTTGTAATCACTTGACAAACCTTTTTTTTAGACCTTTCCTCTCATTTTCACCTCCCCCCCCCCCCCCCCAGCTAAACCCATTTTATTTAAATTAACAAAAATTTGGAATCGTGTGGGCTTAAACCCCTCTTTCATCCATGACAAATACATCTCTAACCACGTTATAAAATCTATATTAAATAATTTAAAAGGAAAAAATCACTTACTTAGGGTGAAAGGTTTAAAGTTATAGTATGTATTTGCAACCGCGACGCACCCCTGAATTTAATTTTGTAAAACACATACTAATAAATTTTAACCGGCTTAGTTGCCTTTAAATATTATTTTACAAAACAGTGTCAGAATTTACGTAGATTGATTAACACGTTTGCCAATTCACCATTTTAAGCAAATGCGTTACAATTCATTTGATAATACTGCAATCTTATTGGACAAAAAAAAATTCAAACACTAAGATCTTATATAAATAATAAGGGAAAATTCCACTTACTTAAACTTTGAACTCCCAATACCAATAAAACAATACCATCTAAATCCACCCTGTGTACAGTAATTTAAGCACTTTAAGAACCACAAGGATAGAAGGGAAATTCAATGATAAAACAGAATACCCCGTTTAAAAATTCCTAAATAAAGCGCCCCTCCCCTAATAACCCCAAAGGCTTTTTGATATGGAAAAAAAAAATCTGCTCATGAGTAGTGAACTCTTTAATAAATCCGTAATTTTATTCAATCCTTCAGAATCCATTTTATTTCATAGTAAACACAAAAATGTAACACATGAACTTTTAAATCTTAAACATTTTAATGTGTATTACCAACCTTGTTACACTAAATGTATTTTCAATGATTTTTGTATTAGGAAAAATGTGTTGTAATAATAGCCCCCCTTTTGGAAAATGTTTAGCCCCCGGGGCGTTTAATAAGGAACTTTACCCAGTATGTTTATCTAAAATTTTATTTTATTTTTATGACCCTGATGAAGGCTATTGAAAAGCCGAACGAAACTTAGGTCTTTAATAAAATTATAGAAACCCGTTACCCACTGTGTTTCCACCTATTAAAATTTTTATTGTATGTGATTTTATTTTACCTGGTTAATGTTACAGGTATGGTAAAGTCACGTCTTAAAGCAGCTCTGCCCAGCAGATAAATGACAAAATTTACAAATGATTACAAGAAACAAGATGATGATCAATATATAAAAGCTCCATTGTTTTCGTCATTGATTTGTATTCAATATTAACTTCATAAAAGTGGACTTGGTTTGACCCTTAATCTGTTGAATTCCTTAAATGGACTTTTCCAATTTCCATTTTGGAACAGTCCATTATCAATTCTATCAATTATATCAAGGTGAGAATTTGAAGTTGGCCAGCCAACAGTATAAAGCCTGGTCAGGTTGCATGGATGTGCAGACTGGCCTGGCTCTATACTAGGTGGCAAAGACTGATCACTGTCTCCTTCACCAGGGTAAAGGTTAAACATATTTTATTTCAGAATATTTGTACATGCATAAGTTACAACATTACGATAATTATAGATTTTGGCAGAAAGCAAAAACTTATAGAAGCCATTATCGAAAAAAAAAATAATATGGACTTGAAAAAGTTAGGGACAC